AAACAGAAGTAGTTGTAGCGAAATTTTCAAACCCACATTGAGTGATCTTCTCTGCAATAGAGGCGTCCATCTTTGGAAAAGCATGTAGGATTGTTGGATAAGTTTTGATTGCAGGCAACGCATCGCAAGCAGCACTCGTGAAATGAATCTGACATTACCTGGAATAATTTCAGATAGCAAATTTATGTTCAAAAATCGCAACTGATTGCATTTTTGCCAGTGGGGGTGAAATCTATTTCCGTATGCACGCAAAATGCTGTTCTCTTCAGTAATTGAATTTGTAAATAAAAGTAGCAAATATGGACATTTTTGGATTTGAACAGAAGCCTAGTGAGAAAGTGCCAAAGTGCGTGAGCAAGCGCATTCGAGGGTTTGTCATTTGCTGAACGCTGTTCACGCTTATCTAAATGTTTCTCTATTTTGGCCACGTAATGAAGAGAACTTCTGCTAACCCTAAGCACGAACTGATCCTTGATTTCGTAGCCGCATACAGCGCAAACAGACTCCTCCAATCGTACGGGACTGGTACCAGGGCCTGAAAATTTATAGTTCAAGCATGAACTGAGCGTTGCTTGGTTTGATTCCGACGTTGAACTGAAAGAGAGGACAAGCAAGCCGCTACCGGAGCACTACTCAAGAACTTCACCGTATAACAAGGTCGGAAGCAGAATCTCCTCGGTGCTCTCGACGGCCAGCATAGCAGTCAAGATCCGACGTTGAACGGAAGTTTGAGGAATCAATGTATCGAATGTCGCGCTGGTCCGGTGTGCATTTTGTTGTTCAAGGCGAAGTGTTTCATGGCGAATACCATAACATACTGCTAAGCGTTCAGCGGCACTGCATGTATGTTGGGGACGGCAGTGTCATGTAGCCGACACCCACACGACCAAAGGAATGTTGATTTGCTACTGCTATTTCTATCTAGAGGATGGAAAAGGAAGCGAAGAATGACAGAGTGTGCAACTGGCTACTCAGATGTGCATTTCATTTTTGTGCCTGAGTTGAACAGTAATGGCGTGCACTTCGTTACATGTGCGACAGAATAGTAATTATTTTCACGGCAATATTACTTAGCTAGTGGATGTACCAATGAAAAGCACAGAAGCTGTTTTCTTCAATCAGTTTTGCAGTCAGAAGGTAGAAATGAAACAAGTTAACAGCCATTACCTACCGACTGGTCGGAAAGCAGTCCCAGTACTGAATTGTCGAACTACGGTCTCGCTAAATGCTGGCGATTGTTCGTCCAGATCGACTAACTCCGTCCTGCAATAATGATAAAATGTTCGATGAAAAACAGCTGCCAACATGTGGCTGCTAACATGCATTTCTTGAGCTCAAATTTCATAACGACTCTAAGCGATAAAAAAGGTTACAGGGGATTCTGCTACTCAAAATTAAACTACCAGTTATGGATATTAAAATAGAAATTTGATTTCGCTTACCTCTGCATTACGCCTATCATGTATGCTGATGAGTGAAGCGGATTTGGGATGCACGGCGCGCTACCGTAGCCCTGCCACGCCCCTCGCTGTGGAGCTGCGCCATGCAGGATCACAAGCAGATCCCCGAACATGCTAGCCTCGACATCCTCTTTGCTAGATAAGGAAATGCGTCAATGCAGGGGTTGGGGGAGGTCTGGTAATTTTGTAGCTAATGAGTGAACCACGTTTCTCTTAACATTTTTCAGACACAGTACTAAATGGTAATGTGCCGGCATACTTGAACGTTATTAAGGGTCGGGGAAGTAGTCAATGCTAATCTCTTTTTTTATTTAGCAATTTGAATGCCAACCAGTCACTAGTGGGTCACTATCTCTTTTTGGTCATGATGATTGTGTTCAATTCATAATTTTCTCTCATTGCACGGCTTAATAACGCAATGATTAGAGTCTGTTACAGCTTAAACCTTAATTTAGGGGAGGAGGAGGATCTAGCTCGGCAAATTTTTTTAAATTTTAGAATTCTATTTGCATGAAACAAACTACACTTTTAATGCAATGCGTTCCAATAAAGTTTCGAGCTAACAAGTAATTTCCCATATGGAAACAAAGCTGGGTCATAAATGCTAATGCTGCAGTCCTGCTAATTTTAGATGTTCATATTTCTAGAAGTGCGACGAAATAGAGCAATACATGGTAAGGCGACGCATTCGACACTTATTCTTTCAATGTCTTGAACTGCATTCGGCCGAATCGTGAATACATTCTTATCATAGTTCATAGTAGCAAGATAAAAGCTGTAATGAATGATTTGAATACTCAAACCTCTACCCTTTGTAATGCTAGATACAACGGCGGTAATTAGTTGATATGATACTGTTAACCACAGCAACTCCTTTCTGATACAATCTAATCTTACCATAGCGCCTCTCCCCATCAATATGGTTTTGCATCCATCTTTTCACAGACCAACTGAGCCCAAAGTAGTAAGCAGTATCTTTGTTGTCAGTTGTGGCAAAACCCTAAAAACTCGAAAGCTTATCACTACATAGGAAGTTCAGCTGTGATTACCAGTGTGTTCTTGTTTTTACCCAGTAACTAATGGATGGTGCTCTATAAGGATCACGTGACAGTTCAAAATCGAGTAAAGCCCAAAAGTTCGCTACTTGTGCTCGCAAATGAATGTCAAGCCGTATGCGATTGCCGCCACCCCTATAGCATGACTATATTGCAGCATGGCAATCGATATGAGGAAGACGAATTATTGCCTTAATGATGCA